TCTAAATTAGCTTTTTGTCCTAGAGAATTAGAGTCAACCTTTCAGTATTACATGATCAGTGAGTGCTTGGTGTAGATTTGTTTTTCAGTTTACTCCATATTTCTCTGTCGGTTCTAAAAGAAGAGAATAGGTGTCTTTGCTCTAAGCTTCTAAGACAGCGGTTCTCAACCTGTGGGTCGCGACCATCGGAAAACACATATAGCATATCAGATATTTACATTACGATTCATAACAGTAGCAAAATTACAGTTATGAAGTAGCAATGAAAATAATTTTATGGTTGGGGGTCACCACAGTATGAGGAACTGTACTAAATGGTTGCGGCATTAGGAAGGTTGAGAACCACTGTTCGAAGAAGTTTAAATTCATTTATGCTATTTTATATACTGAACTGTGTAGCAAGGTAATCGGATTGAATCACTGTTATTATTAAGCATACCATTTAAAATTAATAGCTTATGTTATTTTCAAAGCTGATTGGACTCTTAACCTGTCTTTAAAAATGAATTCTAGAATTGAGTCTTTTCTGATAATTGAGATTCAATGAGTTGTTTAGTTTGTGTGTGTGTTTATGAAAACAAGATAAAGTTGGTGGGCCAGATAACTTGAGATCTTAATAAACCTCTTCGTCATCCAGCTTAGAAATTTTTTTTTTACCCAGAAAGAATATAGTTTTGGGATAGAGATTTTTATTTTATTGTAAACTTGAAGTTATGGTGATTTATTTTGCTTCTGGCTGATAATTTGGTAGCATCACACCTAAGATGTACTTTATTTCTGAAACTTCTATTTCAGAATTGGCTAAGTTAGTGTATTTATTTATGTATCTATAATTACTATTTAACATATCTCCATAAAGAATTTGAGGAGATTTTATATATATATGTTAAATGTAGTCTTAACCAAGAAAGATACTATTGAACTTGTTGAGTGGAGTTATTGATACTTGAAGTCACTAGAAAGGGGAAATAACATATTACATTGAAAAAGAATTTTATAGTTCATCACAAATAATTACATGGAGAGGAATATTACTATTTTCTTCTAATCTTTCTAATAATTACTTAGAAAAATTATTTTTCTAAGCATGAAGTTAAGTATGTAATTTAAAGAATATAAACTTTCTCTTTTAAAAACCTCTAATATCAAAACATTATGTTGCCCCATTATGATTTAATAAACATGTACTTGTGCTTATAATGGCAAACAACTATTAGATATTGCTCTTTATTTAGATCTTAAGGGAGGCCTTATAGTGAGAAATGGACAAAAAGATAAGGAAGTGTAACATAAGAGAAGATAAGGGATATTAATGTTCTTTTATTTCAGATACAGGTAATTTTTAGCTACTTTGAGTTATACATGCAGCACTTAGCACAGTGCCATCTGCATGCGAACTATAGGTTATCCCCCCCAAAATTTATATACACACTGAATAGTTATAAAGATAGTGTTTATTAAAATACATTTTGTTTTCAAAATTGAGCTATCAGCTGATAAAGTGTTCATACATTTTTGGGGGATACCCTGTATATGAAAGTGATTTGGTTTTGTCATTGTCTCTGAGAGATTTAATCGCAAAGTTAAAAACATTTGATTTTGCGTTTCAAGTCCTTTGGAATTTAAGTAATAGTTTATCACTATCTCAGGAAACATTATAGCTATGATTTTTTTCCTTCTAATCTTACTGGTTACCAATAGAATTTGCCACTGAAAAAATAAGATGATCAGTTGTGCACCTATGTTTAAGATGTAATTTGTCATACTAAACTTGTTAGACTAGCACACCAACTGTTTCTACTGCAGCATGTATAAACATTTTACATAATTTTAAGGGTTCAGTGAATATGACTATTTCGATAACACAGACTTTTAATTAAGTACATATTTCTTTAGTTCCTATATAACTGGGAATTTACCTTCTTTTCAGTAGACGAGTAAAAGAAGGGCTTACAGCTCAACATAAAATGTATTAGTCACTTAATATTGTACATTAGAAAATGATTTTAAAAAGATACCTGGGGTTGGGGACAATTATGGTAAAATTTAACCAGAAGATGGCAGTGATGATCTTCTTACACTCCCTGCAGTGGTAATCAAAAAGTTTTACAAATGTGAAAGCATGAAATATGCACGCTCAACTGTTGGTATATAATGTTATAAATGACAGTCTAGGGGAAAGCATTTGCTGTTTGTTTTATATATTATGAAAAATGTGTATTTTTCTATAAGAAGGGATTAAGAATATTTTGGGTGTCTGTATCTTTGTCTGTACACTTCAGTTTTTTCTGAATACTGGGGTAAGGAAGTTACCATAAGTCTTGCCTTGTTTCAGTTGCATGCATCACTTTATGTTATGCATCATGTCTAGAAGGCATGCTGTTTTATTGCCTGTTTGCACTTTTCACCCAAATTGCTGGAAACTAATGAACATTTTAAAGGAGTCATTCCTATAGTCAGTCATTCTCTAAATTGGCTTTTATTTTTTGGTGGGGGAAAATTAAATCAGTTAAGACATTTTTAAAAGAAAAAAGTATTAAATAAAAATTAACACTTAAAAATAAATCTCAGAAAAACCAGAGTTAATGACTTTTGAAGCATATTTTAGAGTTTTGATATTGACAGCAATTATAAGTATTATTTATACACTGGTGATCTTAAAAGTGGGAAATTAGAAAGGGGAGAAGGAATGCTCTCCTTTGAAAATTAGTGCCCACATTTGGTATTGGCTGAGATGAAGATGCATCCTTCTGTAACCTTGCTTTTTAAAAATATAAAGCCCAAATGCATTTTGCCAGAGAAATTGCATGATCATCAGCATGCATTTTTAACTTTGTCTTTCTCCTCTTCTTTCTACTGTTCATTTTCATTCATGTATTTTGTTTTTTGGTTTGCCATTATTTTTTATTTTTTGTTAATTACTTCATGTTAAATTACTTTTGAAACGTCATAAGCTGAGCAACCTCTCCATGTAGTAACAGCGGATACCTGTCTGTTTCACTATTTAGTCCCTCCTCCTATGTCTCCATCCTCCAAATCTGTGAGCACACCAAGTGAAGCTGGAAGCCAAGACTCTGGAGATGGCGCAGTGGGATCCAGGTATAGTAATTTTCTTTTAATATTTTTAAGAATAGAATGCATTTAATGCCCAGATACTGTTGGTGCTTTAGAGGGACTCTAAATAGTTATGTTGAAGTTAATATTTTGAGATCTAAATGGTACAGAAATTGTAAAGTGGGGGAAATATTTTTCTTTACAATATTCAGTTATTACACTTGATTAATTTAGTATTGAATAGTTAATGGATTTTATGCTAATTATATTAAGATAGAGGTGTTAATTTATTTAAATGTTTTCTGTTTAAGCAAACTTTATATTGGTTAATATATGACTGTTTGGAGTATAGCATAAAACCTTTCTATTTTGTGCTTAATTTCCCATTCAGTAATTGAAAATCTCACCAGTACAGTTAAATAGCCCAATTCTGTTCTATTAATTCACTAGTTCTGATTAAGATAGAAAATAATAATGCATAAAATATCAAGAATATGGAATAACTGCTAAGGAAACATTAAGTTTTTCACTGCCTTGAGGACATCATGCTAAGTAAAATAAGACAGAGAAAGACAAATAACCATATAATCTCACTTATATGTGGAATCTTAAAAGATAAATATGATCATAGAACACATTGGTGGTTGCCAAGATGGGGATGGGGGGGAGGCAGGAGGTATGTGAAATGGGTGAAAGGAGTCAAAAGGTACAAACTTTCAGTTATGAATAAGTAAGTCATGAGGATGTGAAGTACAGTATGATGACTGTAGTTAATAATACTGTATTACATATGTGAAAATTGCTAAGAGAGTAAATCTTTAAAAAGTTCTCATCACAAGAAAAAGAAATTTGTGTGGTGATGATGTTAACTAGATGTATTGTGGTGATCATTTCACAATATATACAAATATGGAATCATTATGTTGTATACTTGAAACTAATATAATGTAATGTGTCAATTATATCTCAATGAAAAAAGAAAAGAGTGCTTACTGCCAATTTTTCCTAAATTAGCATCTTCCTTGTGAAACAGTATTTCATGTTTGTTTTAGGATCCTGCACACTTGTTGTGTCTTGCTTTTCAAAAGTTCAGTAAGATTTCAGCTTCTTTCTAAAAATTGTGTTGGGAAAATTATTATTACTTCTGTCTCTCTCTTTCTCTCCCTCTCTACCCCCTTCCCTCTTCTCTCTCTCTCTCTCTCTTTTTCTTTCTCTCTGTCTGTCACATACACACTAATAGCAAGTTTTTAATAACATCATACTTTTTTACTTCTTGTGACAGCTGAAATGAGATTAAACATAGGTTAAAAATCTTTATTTAGAGTCCTTATTTTGAGCCAGGAAGTTACATATCCTTCTCAGGAAATCTCTTAATACACCTTTTTAAAAAAATTAAAAACTGAGAACTTTTATCTTTGTTGTGCCTGACCCCCTCTAATTGAACTTACAAAGAAGTAATGAGTCTCTAAAAACAGGATCAGCAAAAAGGAGCAAGGGAGCTAGATAATCGGAAACTTGGTACTTATTATTCTTAAATAATCAGGTTATCATTAATAATTAGAAGGCACAAGAGGTTCAGTTTGAATTTGAGATGTGCTTTCCAAAACTGTTCTGTATATAGAACCAAAATTGCAAATCAAAACAATACTGTCATTGGAGATAAATGGCATAACTCTTATCATTTAAGAAAAATCAGCCATAGCCGGTTTGGGTCAGTGGATAGGACGTCGGCCTGCGACTGAAGGGTCCCAGGTTCGATTCTGGTCAAGGGCACATGTCTGGGTTGCGGGGCTCGATCCCCAGTGTGGGGCATGCAGGAGGCAGCCAATCAATGATTCTCTCTCATCATTGATGTTTCTATCTCTCTCTCCCTCTCCCTTCCTCTTTGAAATCAATAAAAATATATTTTAAAAAATCAGTTTTCTTTTTAGAAATACTATTATCTTAAAAAGAGTATGTATTAAAGATTATTTAGTCTAAATTTATCTTTAAGGCTTAATTAATTTTTTAAATACTCATACTTTTGTGTTTTTATACAAATATGTTAGTAGTAGAGGCGCAGTGCATGAGATTCATGCACTGGGGGAGTGTCCCTCAGCCTGGCCTGTGCCCTCTGGCAGTCTAGGACCCCTCGGGGGATGTCCGCCTGCCAGTTTAGGCCCGATCCCTAAGCTGGCAGTCAGACATCCCTCTCGCAGTCCGGGCGTCTCGCAGTCCGGGCCCCACGCTCCTTACCATCCGTCTGCAGCGGAGGCGGGAGAGGCTCCCGCCACCACCTCTGTGCTGGCCAGCAGTGAACCTGGCTTCTGACTGAGCAGGGATCCCCCCGT